TCTTTCTTTCTTTCTTTCTTTCTTTCTTTTCCTTTCTTTCTTTCCTTTCTTTCTTTCTTTCTTTCTTTCTCTTTCCTTTCTTTTTTCCTTTCTTTCTTTCTTTTCCTTCTTTCTTTCTTTCTTTCTTTCTTTCTTTCCTTTCTTTCTTCCTTCCTTCCTTCCCTTCCTTTCTATTCCTTTCCTTTCTTCCTTTCTTTTTCTGCCATTCTTCCTTCCTACCTTTTTTCTTTTCTTTCCTTTCCTTTTTTCTCTTTTCTTTCCTTTCTTCCCTCCTTCCCTCCCTCTTTCTCTGTCTTATTTTCCTTCTCTTCCTCCTCCCTCCCTCCCTCCGTCTCTTCTCTTCTCTCTCCCCTCCCCTCTTTCTCTTCACTCTCCAACTCCCTAGCAGACTTTTCCCTTGGCTTTGTCGAATTCAACAACTCACTCCTCTTCCGGGGACTTGAGGCCTGCCCACCCCCTCCCTCCCCTCCAAAGGGAAGGGAAGGCAAAGCTAGAAAAGGGGGGGGGGGGATGGTGGCAACCATGTTTTTGACATCTTTGCCATGAGGCATCCTAGGGGAAGGCAGAGGGCACGGCCCAGGGAAGCCGGAAGGGTACACAGTCGCCTCTCTTTTGTTTTCTGGCTTAGAGGAAGGAAGAGCGGCTGTCTTCCTCTTGGCCCCGTTCTCTCCTGGAAGAGGAACAGAGTATCTGGCGTTTTGTTTTGTTTTAAGTTTGAAAGACCAAACAGTGCCCTTCCTTTGGCAGTAGGCAGAAATGCCTGACAATTCATAGAAAGATGGAAAGATGAAGAGAGAGAGAGACAGAGAGAGGGAGAGACAGAGACAGAGATAGAGAGACAGAGAGAGACAGAGAAAGACAGAGGTGCAGAATGCATAGAAATGATACATGGATGGATAGATAGATAGTTTGTTGTTGTTAGTTGCAAAGTCATGAAGTCCAACCCATCAGGACCCCACGGACAACATTCCTCCAGGCTTTCCTGTCCTCTACCATCTTCTGGAGTCCATTGAAGCTCACGCCGACTGCATCAGTGACTCCATCCAGCCACCTCCTTCTCTGCCATCTCCTCCTCCTCCTCCTCCTCCTCCTCCTCCTCCTCCTCCTCCTTCTTCTTCTTCCCTCCATCATTCGCAGCATTAGGCTCTTCTCCAGCGAGTCCTTCCTTCTCATGTGTTGGCCAAAGTCTTTGAGTTTCCTCTTCAGGACCTGGCCTTCTAAAGAGCACCCAGGGTGGATCTCCTCTAGGACCGACCGGTTGGATGGCCTTGCAGTCCAAGGACTCTTCTCCAGCTCCAGAGTTCAAAGGCCTCCATCCTTTGGCGCTCAGCCTTCCTTATGGTCCCACTTTCCCAGCCACGCATTGCCACTGGGAAAACCACAGCCTTGACTATATGCCCTTTTGTTGGCAGGGGGACGTCTCTGCTTTTTAGTATCCTGTCTACATTTGCCATAGCTTTCCTCCTCAGGCAGATCGATAGATATAGGCAGACAGACAGATTCTCACATATATGAGAGAATGAGGCCAGAGTACAATACCTCATGAAATTGAAAAAAGGCTGAAAAACCGACAAGAAAGAGAAAGAAACGCACCAACTTTCCCCAATTACATGATTCCTCCACCTCCGCACCGCCACATAAATCGGGCTACAGCTCCCTTGTTGCCTTCTAGCTGAGGGCAATCACAACTGCACACCTCTGTCTGGGATCCTGGGTCATGAGAGCCCGCGGAGGCTGTGTCGCATTTGACTGAGACCTGCAGGTTGCGTGATGACATCGCACCATTCAAGGAAGGCTCACCAGGGTTGGGACATTGATGCCTTGGTTCGTGAGGCCCAGATAAAGCGATCGTCATCATCATTATCACACACAAACAAAACCCATTTTGCTTCCTTGACCCAGTAAGGGGTCACCCAAGGTCAAAGGATGAGAAGCTTTCATGATTTTAGGCACAGAAGGGGAACATATATGTCCCCCTATATATATAGAGAGAGAGTGCAGCCATAGAAGAACAACCAAGGTGATGAGGAGACTGGAAGCTAAACAACGGTGGCAGGAACTGGATAGGCCCAGTTTAATTAAAAGAAGGACTTGCGTTGTGGGGACACGATAGCAGTCTTCCAATTATCTATGGGACTTCCCCAAAGGAGAGGGAGTCAAACTATTTTCCCTGAGGGCAGGACAAGAAGCAATGGGTGAAAACTAAGGACGGAGAGAAGCAACCCAGAACTAAGGATAAACTCCTTGACAGTGAGAACAATTCATCAGTGGAACGACTGGCCTCCAGGAGCTGTGGATACTCCAACACTGGAGGATTTTAAGAAGAGATTGGACCGCCATTTGTCCAGAATGGTTGGACTAGAAGACCTTCAGGGCCCCTTCCAACTCGGCTGAGCCAGTGGAAGGTTCCTCCAGGGGAGAAGCGGATCTTTTAGAAGAGAAAGAAGCCAGGCCAATCCACGTCAAACCAAACCTCCAAACCCTTTCCTCAAAGTTTGGGGGAGAGAAGCCCAGATGGGTGATGGATCTCGTTAGCCCACCAAGGCCTGAAAGAGGGAAGCAGAAGGCAGGCAGATGGTGGGACTTTGCTTCCTTCCAAAGAGACTCCTCGGAGCAGGACTTGAGCTGGTTGTGGGGAGGGGGGGGGACGGGGGAGGCAGGAAGGCGCAGAGATGCGAGCGAGACGGGGCGCGTGTGCAAAGCAGGCGAGGGAACATTGTGGCCCGCGAGGCAGATCAGAGCTGGAGACCTGTGCCAGGGAAGAGAGAGAGGGGGGAACCTCGAAAGCAGAGGGACAGGAGAAGGTGAGGTGAACAGGTGGGCCTCTCTCTCCCCTCGCAAAGGAAGAGGGTTGCGGATTTTCTCCAGCTCAGAGCACATTTGTGTGTGTGGGTATGTGTGTGTGACCTTGGCCAAACCCTCCTAGCTTTGCCTTTCTTGCTATCATCGCCCGTTCTTCTGTAATATAGTTTGTAAAATATACAGTTCTCGCAGCTGTTAGCAATTAGCAGCAGAAAACCGCCCCTGGGCCCCCAGCGGCAAAGGAGAAATTTTAACGCTTTTCTGCTTGGCTATCAGAAAAGCCAGAGAGGACATTGGACTCTTCTCGTTTGCACCTTGCAAGCTCGGTTGGGACGGAAGTCTGGAGCAAAGGCCTTGCACGCCCAGAGGACAACCTAAGAGCCAAGGAATGCCATTGTGTTTAGAAGCGGCACCAAGACACGGAAAGTTAATTTCCTTCAGGATATGATTTGCAGGAGGGGCCGAGTGGGTGTCTTTCTTTACAGCTTTCCTTCTTCCTTCTCGGTGATCAAAGAATGCCGTTGGGCAGTTTATCTAAAGTTTATTGAAGCGTGCGGAAAGATCACGTGTTTCTGTGTAAAAGAAAGCAGTTAAGGTGGATCGTCATTCGTGCTCCTTCAAAAGGCAACTGGACTTCCTTCGATTTTTTTCCTTGAAGATGTTTCTCTTCTCCTCCAAGAAGCTTTTTCGGTTCTGATTCAAGAGCTGTACTGACTCTACGGAAGAAGAACAATTGGTAGTTCAGATTCATACAGAGGGCCTAGGCTTACAATCAATCTTTATACCCATTTGAACTGCCTATGAGTCCATTTGCACCCTCAAGAGGCCTAAGTCCAGCCCACCGTGAATTCCTTATCTACCGCCCACTTGCTTTAACAGTTAGTAGTTGAGATTCATGCAGAGAGCCTAAGCTTACAATAAATCTTTATACCCTTTTGAACTGCCTGGATCTCCTGGTTCTCCTGGCGCTTGATGGCTGATCTAGAACCTGACCATCTAGTTCTAATGAAGTTTCTTCTCTCTTCCCTCAGAGTCATGAATGGCAGTGACTGAGGACCCGTCAAACTGACCAACGGAGGGTACTCGTTCCAAGGTTACCTTCACTAAGGATGTTCTGCTTAGCTCTTCTGCTCTTGGCTGGATTTTCAACCTGTTCAGGATCTGAAGTCAATCCAGGTATGAACCACGTAACTAAACGGGAATTGTCCCTTGCTTCCCCAGCCTTAAATATTTCCCGTTCCGTTTCCATCCAGTCCAGTGACACTTTTAGTAAAGGTAATAGTTCCGTTCACACATCCATGCTAGTTGTTTCTGGCTCTAGGGGGTGGCGCTCACCTCCATTACAGTGCTGTCTGAAGACGTCTCCGTGGTCATGTGGCCGGCATGACTAAATGCCTTCGAAGACGCACAAAATGCTGTTCCCTTCCCACCAAAGAGGTCCCTATTTTTCTACTCGCATTTTTTTATGTGCTTTCGAACCGCTAGGTTGGCAGAAAGTGGCACAAGGAACGGGGAGCTCGCTCCATGACGCGGCGCTAGGGATTCGAACCGCCGAACTGCCGACCTTTTCTGATCGACAAGCTCAGCGTCTTAGCCCCTAAGCCACCACGTCCCTCAGTCACACTTTTAGGTCTCCACAAAAATGGGCATATCTTTTATGGGCCGTTATTTCAAGATGTCATTTCTGCAAACTGGATGATGCAAGGCTAAGGCGCTCATCCCATTAAATTTAGGAAATGTAGAAGAGACAGTAGAATTCCGGGATTAATACCCAGCCAATCGTCATGTGTGTTTATTGAATCTGATTTCTTGTCTCCAGATGGGAATAGATAAATATTTTTTTTCCTTCCTTCTGGTCAGGGAATGTAAATAGAGAAAAAGAATAACAACAGCCATACTTCGTTGCCCATTAAAAGCCAAGATAGAAAATAGCTCCTAAAGAATTCTTCAATTCTTAAAGAATCCAAATAGGTTAATTTCAAGAGATGTTATTTCTTAGTAGGTAATCTAGGAGAGTCAGTTAATTTCATGAGATGTTATTTCTTAGTTAATTCAAGAAGTAATTAATTTCAAGAGAGGTTATTTCTTAGTAGGTAATGCAGGAGAGTCAGTTTCACCAAAGCTTATCCGGTCCGTTTCAAACACCAAGAGAAAGCTTCTAGATTTATCTTCCTCTGCTTTTTCTAGATAATGCATATTATCCCCAAATAGCCTCCTGTTTCTTGGCAAGACAGGATTACATATTGATATATTGTACTTGGCCAAAACCCCAATCCTGGAATGTCCTGAAATGACATTAAAAGGATGTGTGAGAACTTGTGTTATCTGAGGCAGTCCTCGTGCGATAAGACGGGATTAGCATACGTCCTGACGGAATATCCAACTACGTTGTTAGTTTGATCCCGTAAGGAAATATCTTTTCAAAACACTGTAGTCCTTCAGTACATTTTTATTTACAAAAAAAAAAAAAGTTTTGTTAGTATTAGCGTTGGATAACACATTTGAACAACCTAACTCCCACATTAATATAGGTAAGTCCTTGACTTACAACAGTTCATTTAGTGACCGTTCCCCCCCCCCGCAATGACCTATGACCGTTTTTCATACTTACGACCATTGCAGTCATGGGATCAGGGGCGGTGTCAAGATTGGAATTAGCCTGGAATCCTCAATGTTGCCACAAATGGTTTCAATCTGACCTCTCCTGAATTCAGTTAACTCTTATATAGCGCCAATTTAGTCCTGACCGTGAGTTGACTAGACTTAGATATCAGCTTAACTGGAATTTAATCTGTGGACCTGATTCTCTGTGCCTGAAACTCCAGCCTCTCAAACAAGCTTAAAAAAAAATAAGCAGTGAGCCTCAAGCGTGAAGTATCTTTCGTGGGGCTTTGATGAAGGGGGTCTCTGCTTTTTGTTTTTCACTGCAAACCTTGTGCCCTTCCCCGCCCCCTCCCCTTTCTCAGCAATATGCCGGTATCCTTTGGGGATGTATGAAGGGACCATCCGAGACGAGGACATTACTGCTTCCAGCCAGTGGTATGATTCAACTGGACCACAGTATGCCCGGTGAGTGGAATTTATTCCAAAGTTGGCCGCACGAATCAGATGAGCCAAAAAAAAGGATGGAAATATAGGAGAGAATAGGGCAGGGATGGATGTTGCGGTTCGCCGGCAGCCTGTGCAGCTGGCAGCGGAATCGGACAGTGGGGAAGAACGGGGACCAGTCTGGGAATCTGGGGAGGACTCAAACGGGGGTCCTGCGTCCAATGCAGAGATGGGGCCAGGACCATCTGGAAATGGGGTGCTGACTCCGGAGCCTCCAAAATTTGACAGCAGCGATGAACAAGGGGAGCCTGTTCCCAGTGCTCATGTGCGCAGAGCTGCCAGAAGGCAAGAGCAGCTGAAACAAGCGACTCGGGAGTAAGGCTGGGAGGTGTTGCCCCTCCCCTAAAGGTAAAAAAGAAATGCAAAGGTAGAGAAACCTTTGCAGGAAGCAACGTTGTTGGCTCTGTTCGCATTAAACCATGAAGCTCTTTGTGGACTTCGTACTTCGGTTGGTTTTTGACAGTTAATTTGGCACTTTAGTTGTTGGCAGCAATTCAAAAGAGAGAAAGGTGAGTGCTTATCTTGAGGGACTGTTTGAAACTCATTACCGGCTGGGAATGAACATAATTCCCGGTGTTGAAATAAAACAAGAGTTGTTTGAACTAAGGATGTGATTAATTATGGTCTCAGGAAGCCTCGGCCAGAACAATGGATGGGCGGGGCCAGCTGATCGTTGGAACTACCGGTCCATTAGAACCGGTCCAACCCGGCAGCATCCCACCGCCGCTACTGTTCCACCTCCATCTCTTTCTGCCCCGCGCATGTTCAGGTTGCTGAGAGAAGAAGGCGATGGAGCATGGTGTCCAGCTGGACTCCTGCAACCGGAAGACGTGCAGTTTCTTCAGATCGACCTCCACAAACTCTACTTCATCACCCTGGTGGGGACACAAGGGCGCCACGCCCGGGCCACCGGGAAGGAGTTCGCCCGGGCCTATCGGATCAATTACAGTCGTAACGGCGAGCGGTGGATCTCTTGGAAAGATCGTCAGAACAGGCAGGTAAGTGAGCTACGGAGCAGCTGCGAAGAGAAATTGAGCCCTGAAGATACGTTTTACTGAAAGCTGTTAGACCTCATTTAAAAAATAAAAAAAGAGGGCGTGTGTGGAATAAATCTTAATTTATTACTCATCCAGATGAGTTCCATGCTTGCTTAGCTCCTGCCTACAAATTCTTTTCTGCTTTCCTTTTATGTTATTCTCTACAGTTTGTAAAGGTGCAGACCTAGTAGTTGTTATGAATGTCTGTTGCATAAGGGATAGGAAAACAGAAGCAAGGATAAGTTAATTCATTTGAGGGAAGGAATGAGTAAAAAAAATGTCCTGCCATTGCTCTGAGCAACAGTGTGGTTTGTTTAATTTTCAAAGAATGTTCTAAGTGTTTCTAAGCCTATTTTCTGGGATAGTGAAGTGGCCGTTTCAAGGGGATTAATGGACAAACCAATATTGCAAGAATTCAACCGTGTCAGCTTGTAAAACCAGGGTTTTACGGCTTAGTTCATTGCGTAATTGGCATCAGGAACTGACAAAATCATGGGAGGGTCATAGGAAGGTCATCGATCTTCTAAGGTAGACTCCAAAAGAATCTCTTGCATCTTAAAATGTGCTTAAGGACCTCCCTCCCCAAATCATTCATGATCAAGTTCTCAGGTGGCTCAATCCATGCTTGAGGTCTTCACAGTAGCCTTCTCCAACCTTCCCAGATGTTTCCAGCTAGGCTGCCCCAACCAGGTAGACTCAAAGCTACCCATATGGGCTTCTCCTTCTCAAGACTCACAATTCTCCAAGTCCAGTGCCACTAAGATGGCCAAATCCCTTCCAGGTGATCCAAGGCAACACAGACACCTATGAGGTTGTGTTGAAAGACCTCCGCCCACCTGTCATCGCTCGCTACATCCGTGTGATTCCAGTGACCGAGCAGCCCATGACTGTCTGCATGAGAGTAGAACTCTATGGTTGTGTCTGGTCTGGTAAGGACTTATACGTTGGTGGAGATTCTCAATCACCCAGGTCCTGGTTGTCCCAAAAGTGCTTTCCCCAAAAGGCCAGTAAATAGTAGGGTGCCATTTCTCGATGGAAGTTAACAGACTTCAGCGGATTCTGTAAATCTGCTGCTCTGTAACTATTGTTTCCTCAACGGAGGTCTAGACTGACAAACTGTCAAGCTCCATTGAAGTTTGAAAGTCTCAGATGAGATTTGGGGGGACAGAATGGGAGGAAAGGAAAGAGGATTTCTGTGAAAACACGTAGGTGATAGGATTGTGTCTTTCTTCTGATGCTCAACCGCCTCCTTTCCTAGATGGCCTGGAGTCCTACAGCATGCCCGAAGGAGAAACCATGGTGGCCCCTGGCAATCCTATCGTTTACCTAAATGACTCAATCTACGACGGTCACCAGGAACGGAAGTAAGAGGGAGCCGAGTGCAACATCTTCCTTGCCTCACCATTTATTACTCTCATGAAGGGTTGCAAGACAGTTCCCCAGTGTCCATTTCCAACAGCTATCTTGGTTTGTTTGTAGGGAAAACAAACCAATCTCTCGCGACAGATGCTTTTGTGAACCCACGAAACTGCCGCTTTAAGGGACGCTAATGTCCTTTTCCATCCACTTAGTTTTAAGTAAGATCATGAAGCCACCTTACAGGACGACCTCAAGGCCCATTCTTAACAACGGAGGAGAATATTTGTCGCTCGGGGTCGAATTATGGAGTCCCTTGGTGTTCTCTGAGCTTGGTGGTTCTCACTGTCAGTTCATTTCTCCTTAGTTCTTGATTGGATCTCTCCATGATGGGTTCCCATCCATGGCTTCTTGTCCTGCCTTCAGGTGCTTTGAAGAATAAGTTGACTGCACTCCTCTTGGTGGCAGTCCTAGATCCGAATGGGGACGAAAAGGGAATGGGACTACATTTTACAAGTAGATTAGTATGGGTTATCCATTTCTGAGTTCATGGCGGTGGCCTAGAGGTGGAGCTCTCACCTCACAATCAGGAGACTGTGAGTTTGATCCTAGGTAAAGGCAGATATTTCTCTCTCTGGGCACGATGAGAATATATCTGCTGAAAAATAAAAGTCCGCATTGGTGACGGGAAGAGCATCCGGCCAGTAAACACTCCGCTCCATTCAGCTGCCCAGACTGAAGGGATTATGGGGTCATTAAAAGAAGATGCTAGTCCATGTCTGAGCTCATAGCTACCTTTTAGGGTAGGACTATCTTGAGAAGGGTATGGAGAAAACCATAAAGTCCTCACCTAGCATATCTATTCACCTAGATAGTCTTCTGACTGAGATATCCTCTCGTGGCAGGCTCCTCCATGGTGGGCTGGGCCAGCTTACGGACGGCGTTCTGGGACTGGATGATTTCACCAAGAGCCACCAATACCGTGTGTGGCCTGGCTATGATTACATCGGCTGGAGGAACGACAGCTTCCGGAACGGTGCTGTGGAGATGGAATTCCAGTTTGATCACCAGAGGAACTTCACCTCCATGAAGGTAGAATCTTCTCCACCGGTGAACCTTTTGCAAAGCCAGGTTGAGTAAACGGCCTGCCCAGGTTAACCCTCAGCCTGTCGATATTACAGAAGGACGTTACCACTTCCTGCAACGGAAAGCCAACCTGGTTATCTGACGGCTGCCATTTTTCTTTCCCCGCCGCTGCACAATTGCAGGTTCACTGCAACAACATGTTTTCCAAAGGGGTGAAGATCTTCGAGAGGGTGGAATGCCTCTTCAAACCACAGTTGATCGCCGACTGGGACCAGCAACCGGTGGGCTTGGACACCGTTTTGGATGACAAGAATCCCAGCGCACGGTTCGTGACCGTCCCCTTCAACCACCATATTGGCAAAGCCATTCTTTGCCGTTTCTACTTCGCCGATACCTGGATGATGATCAGTGAGGTCTCTTTTCAGTCAGGTGAGCACCCAATTGGTCAACCAATATCCTTGATTTGCAGGGTGGCACAATGACTCAGCGGTTAAGACGCTGGGGTTGTCGCTGGAAAGCCGGCTGGCAGCCCAGGTTTGAGACCCAAGTACCATACGATGGATTGAGTTCCTGTTCCTTGCTCCAGCTCCTGCCAGCCTAGCAGTTCGAAAGCATGCAAATGCAAATAGATAAATAGGTACCACTTTGGCGGGAAGGGAACAGCACTCTGTGAGAAGTTCCTTCTGTTTTCAGCCGCGACGGCCTCCTCCAACCCTCTGCTTGTGAAAACGGAACTTGAGGAGGTGCGTGTCCCTCCTGAGCTCCATGTTCGCAGGCAGAGGCACCGCAGGCTGGTCCGTTGCTGTTTCCAGGGTGGGCCCACAGGCCAGATCGAAGCACCCCGTGAGTTTGACACCCCTGCTCTCGTTCTTCAAGAGTTAGTTTTAGATCCCCTCACTTCAGCGTCATAATTTTCCATTTTTCTCTTGGTGAAAACCATGCATTTGAGACAATGTGTCCCTGTGTCTACACGCCACATTATTTTTTTTCAATGCACCCAGTTCCTCCAAAGTGTTATCTGCCTACTTTTGCATGTTATGGAAAATAAATTTCTATAATTTGTTTCATCCACCTTCAGGTTGACTGTCAGTTGTCCCAATTTGCTAATAATTGGATTATTTATTATTTATTTTATGTTCCTTCCTGGAGCTCATAACCTCCATGCATCCAGTTCTCCCAAGCCTTCCCCTCCACAGAGTGATTTTTTTTTTAAAAAAATTGACTGGTATATATATATATTTGTTGAGCTATCTAGAACTTTCTCAAGCTGTGGAGAAAGAGAAGTTCCCAGTGTGGTTCCCTATTGTTTACAAGATCTCTCAAATGATTTCTGTAGGCTCCCTGGCGAAATACACAGATTCCTCAAGCTAGAACTGTTATATTGAGATAATGCCTGTTCCCCCTCTTTCAATTCTTTAGTCAACATGGACACTCCTAATCCAATCCTGATTACTTCCACATGGAGTCCCACCACAGGGTTATATACCTCATCAGAGGGACCAAATACTACCCAGGGGACTTTGGGTAAGAAGCCAGAGAGGCCAATGATCTCCTCTGAGGAGAGGGAGTGGTGGATGGGGAAACCTCCAGAGCTATTTTCCACCCTTGTGTTCCAGATTGATTTGGACTGATCAATTGTGAACGTTCTTTGCAGGGAACACCGTCCTAGCTTCCGTCAGTCCCAGGGTCGAGCAGAAAGCAGAGGCCTCCAACTCTTCTCGTCTGATCAGCTGTCTTGTGGCCATCATTCTTCTCCTTTTGGTGGTTATCATCGCCATCCTGTGGAGACAGTACGCTCAGAAGCATCTGGAGACGGTACCATGCACCCTTCGTTGAGCTACCTAGAACTTTCTCAAGCGGCGGAGAAAGAACAGTTCCCGGTGTGGTTCTCTGTTGTTTACAAGATCTCTCAAATGATTTCCGTAGGCTCCCCGGCGAATCCTGGAAGAAGATGCCACGGTGCGTCTCTCCTTCTACAGCTCCAGAATCGTCAATAGTCAGACTCAGATCCACCAGACCAATCCCACCTATGAGAGAGTCTTCCCTTTGGATCTGGAATACCACCAGCCTCTCACTCTCCTCCAGAAATTGCCAGAGTTATCTCAGAGCGCCGAAGACTCAGGTAGGGAAGCTTCTACCCTGTGGTTGTCTTCACACAACACATCCCACTTGAGTTGAGGTTTACGTGAAGAGTGTCTCCATGGCTTGGTGATGATTGTGGGTTCCAGAGCGTGGTTCTACTTGCTTGGGCCCTCGGCATCCATCACAAGAGTGAACTAAGAGTGGATGGGATGAGGAAAATACTCACTCCCTGCAAGATCTTGTTCTAATTGAAAGCTGCGCCATGGAGAATGGTTTTTCCTACAAGCTTTTCCTTGAGTAATTTGCACAGGGTGAGGCCACAGTCACCACTAATGAATAGGTCCAGAGAGGGTAATGGATGGGATCCCTCTTCCCCACACTTCCTTCTCCTCCTTTTTTTTCTCTTCTTTTCCAGTCACTGCTGTTTTTCTTTTCCAATTCTCTCCTTTCTTTTTTCTGCTTTCGAAGCCGCATGGTTTCCCTTTGCTTAGTTGGTTACCTGATCAATTTGCAACCTGGGTGATCAGATGAGGTTGTTCTCTGGGTGGGTTTTGCAGTGGAGTGAATCTAGATACATCCTTTTTTTTTTTTCTTTTGTTTCCTCAAAGATTAGTCCCACCAGACAGAACAGGGGTCCCCAAACTTGGCAACTTTAAGACTTGTGGACTTCAACTCCCAGCATAGCTGGCTGGAGAATTCTGCGAGTTGAAGTCCACGAGTCTTAAAGTTGCCAAGTTTAGAGACCTCTGAAATAGACCAAACCACAAAATCAATCCCTCAGGAAGACTGGAATTACTTTTATTGGCATGGGCTGTAATAAAGAGAATCTTGCAATTCCTATAAAACAACTATTAGCCAGTTTTCCTAGGTAATGGAGTTTGCAAATCTCTGGCGGTCATCATCTTCCTTGATAGATTAGAAGCTTTCATTCCCAGGAAGTTGTGGTTTTTTGGTTTTGCTGAAATCTGCCTGCTACAAAACTGAAATCAACCAACCAACCGGCTGACTCGTGCCATTTGTCGACAATGGTATAGGGTCTCCTGATTGGGCAAGAGTTGGACTAGATGTTCTCCAGGGTACCTCCCAACCTATTATTCTATGTTCTATGCCGGTTTATTCCCTACTAAAGGAAAGGGAATGGCTTTATCAACTCCAAACATTTATCTATTGTTGATAAAAGCCTGAGCTACTCTGAATGGCCAGGAAGGATCAACAGGAAACAGATCTGCAGTCAAAACTTCTAAATAAGATCGTTTTATAGCAGACTCGGAAAGTTTCATCTTTCAAACGTCCAGAAAGTTTTGAGATTTTTGAGAAAACGACAACATCAGATTAGAAGTGCCTTCAGAATCTTTTTTTCTAAACTCTCTTTGCTTTGCCCAACAGTAGAGGATGAACATCCCAAATGCAGCGTATGGGATTCTGAGCTTGATGCTGGTCCAAACCCATGTCTCCCTTGGTCTTTCAGCCTGCAGTGGTGATTATGCAGAACCCGACCTCACCAAGTGCACCCCTCACCAGGGATTCCAGAATAACGTTCCTCATTATGCCGAGACGGACATAGTCAACTTGCAAGGGGTGACAGGAAACAATACATACGCCGTGCCAGCCATCACCGTTGATTCGTTGACCAAGAAGGACATCTCCATTGCCGAATTTCCCCGGCACCAGCTGCAGCTCAAGGAGAAGTTGGGAGAAGGACAATTTGGGGAGGTGAGTACATCAAGAAGGACACAGTGGGGAAATCATATTTCCCAGTCAGAGATCGGTAGCCTAAGGAGATGTAGACCCTTCATTGGTTGCCCACTATTGGGTTAGGTTGAACTCTGCAGATATTTTGTAGCTGAGCCTAATTGTTGCTTTCATGGGTTGGTCCTTCACATGGACAGGTCCACCTTTGTGAAGCTGTTGGTCTTCTGGAATTCTTGGGCCGCGCTTCTCCAGAAAGTTCCAGCCGGGCAATTTTGGTGGCTGTGAAGATGTTGAGAGCTGATGTCACCAAGACAGCCAGGTGAGTTTCGGTGACATCATCAGTAAAGGTGAACCTGCTTACTCTATCAAAAGTTCTCAAAGATCTGAGGAGGTGTCATTTTAGTCTTTTGAGCATTGTTGTCTATCATCCTAGGACGTGTAAGGATGGTCCTAAGTCTTAAGAAGGAAGGTTCTGGTTTAATCCTAAAATAAACTTCCTCTGCAGTTGGACAAAGAAACCAACAATCAACAGGAGTGACAGCTCCTCTTCACTGGAGCCCTGTTTGTGATTGCATTAATTGTGATAGTTTGATTAGACTAATTAATTACCTGCATGAAACAGGAGGGCTGAAGTCCCATAACATGTGGCATCAATCTTTGACCGTTGATCGGAAATATGCTTCTTTCCCCATAAAGTTGGAAGCAATAATGATGTCTATTAGCTTTTCTCCACAGAACGTTTGGCCACCTACCCTTCTTCTTCTACCCTTCCTAGGAACGATTTCCTAAAAGAGATCAAGATCATGTCCCGGTTGAATGACCCAAACATCATCCGTCTGTTGGGTGTGTGCGTGAAGGACGATCCTCTCTGCATGATCACCGAATACATGGAAAACGGGGACCTTCACCAGTTCCTCCTGCAAAGGCAGAGTAGAAGCACCTTCACACGTTCCAGCAACGTTCCTTGTGTCAGGTAATGGAGGGGAAAGGAAGGAGTTGGCTAGAATTGAAAACCATAAGGGTGGAATAAATAAGTAAATGGATGAATAGGCATTAAAAGGCGTGCTGTCTATTGTACCCTTCTGAAAAATCGATTGGGCTTCACAGCAAATTGCAGTTGACTTGTAGACTTCCTTTATTCACTGCCACCAAAATTTCCAAGGCCCATTAAGGACTTCAGAGTTGGTTTCTGTTGGAAGAATCTATAGCATTGATGACAGTGAGAGCTTTGAGATTCCTTGCTTGATTCTTGGCGTTGGACTCTTCTCTCCTCAGCAATCTCCACCTCTTGCTCATGGCAACTCAGATTGCTTCTGGCATGAAATACTTGGCGTCCCTCAACTTTGTCCACCGGGATTTGGCCACACGCAATTGCTTGGTTGGAAATAACTACACCATCAAGATTGCCGATTTTGGCATGAGCAGGAATCTGTACAGTGGTGATTATTACCGGATACAGGGCAGGGCTGTGTTACCAATCCGTTGGATGGCCTGGGAGAGTATTCTGTTGGTAAGAAGATGGAATAGTAGACCAACTAAAATTGTGTTCTTCTCCTTCTCCTTTCTTTTCCTTCTTCATCAGTCACTGTCATCTCATCTCAATCTCCTTCTCTACCTTCTTCTTCCCCTTCTCCTTCTTCTCCTTCTCCTCATCCTTCTCTTTCTCAGTTTTCTTCTCAATCATCTCCATCAATCATCATCATTCTGATTCTATCGCCTTCTCTTTCTTCTTCCCATCCTCCTTCTCCTCCTTCTCATTTTTCTTCTCAAATCATCCATCAATCCTCCTTCTTCTGTCTCTAGCTCCTCTCCTCCTTCCCCTCCTCCTTCTTCCCCTACTCATCTTTCTCATTCTTTTCCTTCTCTTTCTTGCTTTTTCTTCTCCATCAAACATCATCATCCTGTCTCCATCACTTTCTCCTCCTTTCTCCTTCTCCTCTTTTCTTTTCCTCTTCCATCATCATCACCACCAACAACCATCTCCTCCTTCTTCCTTTTTCCTTCATCATTGTCATCTCTTCTACTCTCTTTTCTTTGTTTAGAAAATTGGCAGCAATACTTTACTTTGAAAATTCTAATATCCAAAGAAGTCGGTATTAAGAAGTTCTAATTCACCTCCTAGATGATCCAGAAACAAAGATCGAGAGGGAACTAATAGTCCTACCTGCTTAAAAATGTTTCAGGGTTTTAGTGAGTGCTCTCCAGAATCTGGGAAATGTAACTGCCCCAAAATATCCTCAAGAGATTAGTAACCCACCTTCCTTGAGTGATAATTTCCAGGATTTTTCAACAAAGGGAGAATTACTGATCAATCTGAACGTGCATTAAATGGGCCGATTAATACCCAACTGATGCAAAATCAACAGGCAGAAGAACAAACATTATTTCCTTTCTTGTCACTGTGATGGGATCTCCAGGGCAAACAGTCTTTTCTGCATGTATGAACACCACTTCTTAGAATTCCTAGCAAGAATCACGTTGAATTAGATACCTGAAGTCCGTGTTCTGATCTAGACCCCTTTTATTGAGGTTAAAGTGAATTCCGCTCCAGCAAAGTCCCGGCAAACGGACTTTCATGAGATTTCACAACTACAGACCTTTATCAGGCTTGGAGAGCTGCCAGGCTGATATCTTCTAAATGCCACTCTGTAGCAGACAATATTTGGCAAGGAGCCATGAACAGATCTTCACCCTAATTAAATGAACTAATTGTCTCCTGCAAACCCCACTCCCCTTTTGTTCCTCTTTATTCCCTCTGGGAGGGGCCATTCACCATCCACCTGAGCCTTTACTCCCAAGTTGACCCTTGTTCTTTAACTGTTCCCTTCATCTGGCAGCTCTGTGCATGCTCACACTGGGAACAGGCTCCAGCAGTTCTTCTTCCCCACTGATCTCTGACTCCGATGGCAGCTGATAACTGTCGGACGGCCCTGGCCCCATCTCTGCCTCCGATGCAGGGCCCTCGCCAGAGCCTCCCCCAGACTCCAGGACTGGCCCAGGTTCCTCCCCAACCTCCTCACTGTCTGAATCTTCCGCCAGTTCTGCTGGTGGGCCACAATAATCCATCTCACTGGAGAACATTCAGGGTGGTGAAGATTAGTAGAGGATTTAGCAGCTCCTCAAACAGGAACGGACATGATCCTGAACTGGGAGAGACCTTCAGTCACCTGCAGCTGTATTTTCTTTCTTTCTTTAGGGCAAGTTCACCACCGCCAGTGACGTGTGGGCCTTTGGCGTGACGTTATGGGAGATGTACACCTTATGCAAAGAGCAGCCGTACAGTTGGCTTTCTGATGAACAGGTCATTGAGAACACGGGGGAATTCTTCCGAGATCAAGGCCGACAGGTAAGATACCTCAAATCAATGAATTATGTTGGCTCCTCTTCCTGGTTTGTGAAAAGGACAAAGAGTTAACTGTTGCATTCTCTCACCTCCTAACCAGACCTATGCCCTATGTCCTCACGGCAATTTCCAAGCTTTTTTGTGTGTGTGAGCCCTGGTGGTGCAGTGGTTAGAATGCCGTATCGCAGGCAAACTCTGACCACAGCCTGGAGTTCAATTCTGACCCGTTCAAGGTTGACTCAGCCTTCCAAGCTTCCAAGTTTGGTAAAATGAGTCTGTAAACTGCACAGAATGCTGTAAAACACTATGGAATAGTATATAGGTCCAAGGGCTATTGCTATTTTTGCTATTATTGCTATTTGCTATTTCCGTTAATGCATGCACTGTATATCCCTTGTCCCATGGGATTGTTGAAGATTTGTTGAGAGATTTTTGGGGTGGGGGTGGGGGAAACTTGATCATTGGCATTAGATTCTGAAGTTTTTGAGGTCTGTTAAAATGGTTAAGAATGGCCTTTCATGAAAGAAATTAAAAGTTGGCAGTGAGAATAATTAATTGGTAGAATGACTTCTCTCTGTGGGCGTGCCATCCTTGGAAGTTTTCAAGAATAGACTGGATGGTTATATGTCCAGAATGTTATAGGCTCTCCTGCTGAAACAAGTGGTTAGACAAGAAGACCTCCGAGGTATCTTTCAACCTTATATTTCTATGTTCGGTGAAAAATAATTGGGCATCAAATGACTCCCAGATCCCACGGTGACATCCTTGTGCTCTTCCGCTCCACAGGCCTACTTGTCCCAGCCACATCTGTGTTCAAACCCTGTGTTTTCCTTGATGATGAAATGCTGGAGCCGAGATATCAAAGATCGCCCCACCTTTGAAGCAATCCACCTGTTTCTCATCGAACAAATGGATGGAAGTATTGGACCTATATGAGAACATGAAACTGTTGAAAGACCACGGTCATTGGGCCAAAGGTGCTCAGGTGTCTGTCTGACTCCCTCTTTCCTGTGGACAAGACCAGGTGAAGTCAGGTGCACCACCAAAGTAACCGTTGAAGGTGTTATTCCCGAGATCTCTTCAAGAGGTGGCAATGATGGGGCCTCTTTATCGTGTGGCTGGTGGCCATCATGAGAAGAAGCAGGACCCAAAGTTGAGGGGACTCCATCGCCTCGGTGAGAGGAATCCATGTTCTGTATTGTCCTCTCCGTGGAGGCATCTTGATAGCTGCTGCTTTTCTCAGCCACCATTCAGAGTTCCAGAGGGCTGAGAAACTAACATCTCATGGAATATTTTTGTCTTCTTTCCTTGAAATTTGGAGAGGATCTTTTGTCTTTTCATTTTGTCCCTCCTTCCTAGCTCTCAGCAGAATTCACTGTCTCCAAAATGAAAGATAATGTTCCACCTTTTTGGAAGATCGGCTTCTTGGGATATCTGTCCACCTTTCCTGAAGACCACGTTTGGTGCATCCTGTGGGACCTCCAGCTCCTCCTTTTCTGTCGTACCTGTCCTTTCTATCTTTCAATCAAACTTGGGGAGCTGATGGACACTTGTGACTGCCGATTCTCCAAAAGGAGAGACACGTCAAGTTTCCCACACTGGATTTAACTACCTTGATGAAGAGCAAAACAAAAACGAATGTCAAGGTTGATAGGAAGGCCTTCTAGATATCAACAAATGGGAAGGATTTACTTTGGGGGAATGGCATTATCGTAGGAAGGATTAAACGACACTGTGACTGATATCAAGATGAAATGGATCTTTGGCAGCCCAAAAGGACTGATTTTCAAATCGTGCTGTATTTAAAGTTGTCAAGATGCCAAAGAAGTCATAGCCCACCTTAGAACATCTCAATTTCATTTTTCATCCAGCCTTTCTTTCCTTCTTTATTTTAAACCCCTTAAACACCTGCTGCTTTAATTTCTAGGTTTTAAAAAAGTTTGAAAATTAGCCAACTGGGTTTCTAGCCCATGAGGATTTAAGCCCTAAAATTTGGAGTTTTGTGGGTAGGATCTTGAGAAAGACTAGGAGAAGACAGATTTGGCTGAAGAAAAAGACAACTCCTCATGCCCTGATTGTTTCCTTCTGCATCTCCCCTGAAAGGGTCCAAATTTGTAAAACAGAAAATCACAATTGGCCCAATTTGGGAGTGGCGTCCATCATGCAAACTGACCACTTTTTAACCAACCTGTGATTTCAAATGAATGTGCAGCAAGTTTGATCATTGTTACAACCCGATTTGTTTTTTTTTTTAAATATGGTGCTTAAGGTTATTGTTAATTGCACAAAATAATATGTGAGGAATCAGATGCAAAGCAGTTTGGTAAATATCTCCATTTTTCCCATGCCAGGAAAACTCTTGGCTGGAGACAGATCAAAAGTTATTTTTGAAAAGGCAACTGGACTGATATTGGAAGAGGAGGAGGAAGAAGAAGAAGAAGGAAGAGGTCTTTGCTGGAGACCTTTTGTAAACATTCTCTTCCAGAATTACAATTTTCAGTTCAGGGAAGGAAAATGATGCTTTGAACAGTTTAACCGTCAACGCTTTTTCATCCTGGCTGACCTGGAAAAAGGTAAACATGGTTGGGAAACCACCTGGTGTACTTGGAATGAAACAAACTACCTGGATATGAAACAAATAGCAAACTTGACTTAAAATATTTACTGAAGTGCCAAGCCTTATTCAAATAGTTAGGTGGTTCCACTTCTCTCTCTCTCTCTCTCTCTCTCTTTTTTTTTTTCTTAAATTAATATCAAGGAAATGCAAATCAGTTTGAGGGCCTTGATACCGGAGAAGACGACTTTAATCTTCTCTCTCCCGTAGCTCCAGCAGCCTCTTCTTGCACCCCATTTTTTCCCAAATGGTAGGTCTGGCCTGCAGGTATCGTGGACTGGCACCTGTCAGTGAAGAAGCCACACAGCAACTTCCTCCTTGCGCCATAGAAGGAAGGAACATCTCCATGGCATCCACTGTGTCGACCAAGAAGAACGTCTGGTCTTGCTGTATTTTGCTAGGGATTGAAAGAAATGGAGCTCAGAAACAGTGGCCTTTATACAGAGACCACCACTTCTTCTTTGTGAGGGTGGGTGTTGGTGACAACACCAACTCATATGATATATTCAGGGAGCCGGGAATTTGGAGATAACTGGAATTCAGAGCAGTGGGGGGGATTCAAGATTTTTTTTTACTACCAGTTTGGTGGATGTGGATTGGTGGGCGTGGCAGGGAAGGATACTGTAAAATCTCCATTCCCTCCCCATCCTGCTAACCTGCTTCCCAGCTCCGTTCTCCTGTGCAGGGCAACCAAAGAAGACCCAGCTGATCAGCTGGGGCTCGGGCGGAGAAGAGATGAGGTTGGCGGGGCCAGTCAGGGGTGGGATTGGCCAGTTCTCCTAATAACTACTCAAAATGTCTGCTACCGGGTTTCCAGAACGGGTCAGAACCGGCTGAAGACCACCTCTGATTCAGAGACTCCAGAAAGGGATGCCCAAGCTAGTTGAGAATTTCAGATGGGCTCACTAGAGGCCGATCCTTGATACCTTCAAGCTACCTATGGAAACGGGGTCACCAGAGCACAATTGTAGGGTCCTCCTACCAAGCTCTGCCTGAATGAACCCTTCAAACCATCTGTCCAAACTCATGCGTTGGCCATCAAGAGTTGGTTCCAGCAAGAAGGGAGGGCTTCCTTCCCCATATATACATACATACATACACACACATACACACACACACAAAAAGATACAGGATCAAACCAGCCTTTAAAAAAATTGGCCACTTCTAAAACCTTTGTGGTGCATCTCTTCACAACAACCAATCAATCAAAATGTCTAAAAAATAATAATAATTAAAAGCAATAATGATGCCCCCATTTCTCCTTTGGCTATTTCCTCTTCCTTTTGAGAGCGGGAGATTGTCTTTCCATGTTACTTGAAGTTTGAAACTGTGGATAGATGCACAGCATATAGGATTTCCTGAAAAAAAAATATATTAGTAAAGGGGTTCCCACTCCGCCCTTCCTTTCCTATTCTAGTTTTGCTAACCCTCCTTTTTTTAAAAATCTATTTTGGCTCTTTAGCCTTGTATATTTTGTATTTAGAAATGGCATTCAGATGTGTACATAGTATAATATATGAATTTAACCAGGAATTCCTCTGTAACCACACTGTTGCTTTATTCTGATGACCATTTTTATACGTTGACAAATGACCAATAAAGTCGGTTGGGTTTTCTCACCCCTGCCTCTTCCTTCTATCTTTTTTCTGTTTTTGCGCACAATTCCTTTAGTTACCTCAGCGTTGGAGTCAATGCTCACCAATATATCCATTTTTTTTCATCAGTGTGTGTGTATAAATGTTCACTAGAATGATTGGGAGGGGCATGGCCTGGTGAATTGCACTGACTTTCCAATAGATTTGCAAATTGTAATGTGTGAACCGGTTAAATTAACGGATTTGACATGCGTCCACACCTGCACAGACCCCCCCTCTCCCTGCAAACACAGGAGAGCACGAATTCAAGTCCTGCTTTAGCTTTGAAACCCAGCTGGGTGACTTTGGACCTGTCCCGCTCTCTTTGGCCCACCGCACAGGGTGGTTGTTGTGGAGAAAGAGGCTGAGGAAAGCATGTTGGATAGGTTCCCTGCTTTGAGTTATTTGTAAAAAATAATAATAATAATAAAGGTGAGATAGAAATAAAAATAACGACAGTAGCTGAGGGTGGGGCTTATTGAACTTAATGAAGTTTATTTGGGAGTTTAACTCCGCGCACCCAAGTTTACCCAAACTGGCTGCAAAACCTCATGATGGTCACTAGATGGTGACAGAGGTTTCTGTCTCTCTCTGATGAGAGAGTGCCTATCGGGATAATAGGAGTCCATGATAGATTATCTTATCAAGATATTTATTTTTATTTGTTTGTTTGTCAAACATGGACAAGATAGCAGGTGTAAGTATGAACATAAACATGAACGAAGGAACTAGATACAACTAAATGGGAACAGCAAGACAGGGCACGCTGGTGCGCTTATGCACACCCCTCTTAGGAATGGGGTGAGGTCCACGGTAGACAGTTTAAGGTTGAAGCTATGAGGGTTTAAGGATGTAACAATGGAGTCAGGTAGGGCGTTCCAGGCGTTGACCACTCTGTTGCTCTCGTTGTATTTCCTGCCATCGAGTTTGAAGCTTGTTTGTATCAGTTGTTTGCCCGTGTATTATTGTGGTTGAAGCCGAAGAAGTCGTTGACCGGTAAGACATTGCAGCAGACCATTTTTTATATTATGCTTAGATTAGACGCATAAGGTGGCGCATAATAATAATATGATTATTGTCTTGGAGGACTCTCCTTCCTCCACCAACTGCACTTCTTTCCGTGAACAAAAAAGATACTCAACTTCCTGGTTTACGTCATTCTAAAAGCCAAACCCAGCAGAACAAAGAGTGGATATCAACTCTCCCAACAGGCATTGTTTGTCAGATCATCAGCTCTTAGAAACCAGGACAGATGGCTTATCAACAGCTACTAAGAGACTGGAACAGAGGTATACTAGCCCTTGAGAAGGGCAATCTTGACGCTGCCTTGGACATCTTTCGTAGCATCAAGAATCCTCCTTCCAAAATAGATTTCAACATTGGCTGTCTGTATCTCCAGCAAGGAAATCTGGATCATGCTCTGGAGGTAAGAGAAGCAACCTTCTCAACCAATCACACTATTAAAAAAGAGGTGGAGACTCTAGAAAAAGTGCAGAGAAGAACAACCAGGATGATGAGGGGACGGGAGGCTAAAACATACAATGAACAGTTGCAGGAACTGGGCCAGGCTAGTCTAGGGAAGAGAAGGATCAGGGGAGACAGGAGAGCAGCCTTCCAATATTTGAGGGGCTGCCCCAGAGAGGAGGAGGGGGCCAAACTATTTTCCAAAGCACCCGAAGGCCAGACAAGGAATAATGGATGGAAAATGATTCAAGGAGAAATTCAACCTGGAAATAAGGAGAAACTTTCTGAGAGTGAGAACAATCAACCCATGGAACAGAAGTTGCCTTCAGAAGTTGTGGGAGCTTCATCACTTGAGACTTTCAAGAAATGACTGGACTGCCATCTATCAGAAATGGTGTAGGGTCTCCCGCTTGGGTGTGGGGTTGGACTAGATGACCTACAAGGTCCCTTTCTTTTTCTTTGAAGATGTTTCGCTTCTCATCCATGAAGCTTCTTCAGGGACAACCTTGTCTTGGGTGACTGAGAATTTCCATAGACATCTGTGGATTTCAGCTTAACTTAAATCTACCTAGGAAACCATCATGGTTTATGCACTGCCAAGTTTTGTGAGCCAGCCATTTGTGGTCTGTTCAACAGACCACAGCTCATTTCTCTTGAAGCACAAATCCAGAAGAAATGCTGGATCTGCAAAGCAGATATATATATCTGCACAACTTTTAAAGCACAACTATAATGACGTGGGAAAATACCCGAACAAAGCTGAATACCATACATGTAAGTACCCGCGAACACTTAAGAAAACAAATATAGATATATATTTGTTTTCTTACGTTTTCGCGGGTACTTACATGTATGGTATTCAGCTTTGTTTGGGTATTTTCCCACGTCATTATAGTTGTGCTTTGAAAGTTACTGTAAAAGTCTGACTCAAAGACGGACACAATACAGAAGCCTGATGATGGCAGATGAGATTCTGCCGAAATGTTGCTACAACTTTAAAAACACTTGCAAATCCAATAGATCTTTGGATGAAATCACAAGTGAGAGAAGAAAGAATTCGCATTGCAGTCCTTCAAATCAAGCTCTCCATATCAAGGAAACATCATCATTGGCCAACTCTCCTTTTAAAATATAATTTTAAAAGCATAGACAAAAGGGACACAAAAAGTCCCTTTTTCTTATGACAAAGTTAATCGACTTTGCACTTATAATGTTTGCAAAAAAAGGAGAAAGTTTCATCCCAAATATCTAAGTGCTGGCAACTATCTGAGGCTAAAGCCTAAATAAACTCTGATTTATAAAATGCAGTGGTTACTCCCACACAGTCTATTCCAAATTACCTAATTTTATTCAGGCATGCATTCCCAAAGGAACCCCAAAAGTGAACATTTAGATATTCCATTATTGCTCTGGCAGCGATTTCGTGAATAAAGTCCAAACAACTTCGTTCAAAGCCACAATGTCATTTGCTTGGCTTGAGCTGTTTTGCTTCGTGACCTCTTGGATGATGATGGCTTGTGGTGATGGGTCATCCAGTTAATTGTGGCTTGCTCAACAGTTGGATTTTGCAAGGCTTCAGTTACGATTTACAAGCCAGGAAGACAAGCTGTGTCGCTTACAATTTAAGCACCACACACACACACACACACACACATATATTCTGACAGTTAGAACAACTAATCAGTGGAACAATTTGCCTCCAGAAGTTGTAAATGCTCCAACGCTGGGAGTTTTTAAAGAAGAGATTGGATAATCGTTTGTCTGAAATGCTATAGGGTTTCCTGTCTAAGTAGCGGGTTGGACTAGAAGACCTCCAAGGTCCCTTCCAACTCTGTTATTCTATTCTATTCTATTCTAGTCTATTCTAGTCTAGTCTATTCTCCCCCGCTTGCCTTCTGGGATTGTTTAAAAACTCCTTTATCCTTTAATTGCTGAATTGTTGGTGGAGATATTTTCAAAAACCTGTTTTTTTAAATGTTCGCTTCGGCTAATAAAGACATTTCTTTCATATCAATTTTAGGTCGCCTCTCCCCAAGCAATTTCAAAACTTAATTTTATTTCTGAATTCCCCGGTGCAGTGTAAAATAGCTGTGTGTGTGTGTGTGTCAACGACTTTGTACCACCGATTCCTAAAGAAAACAGGATCTCTGTTTATTTCAAATATAAACCCAGCGGAGGAATGCAGAAAAGAGAGACAGCGTGGAAATTAAACCCTCCCCCTGCTGAGCCAGTGTCCCTTCTCCCAAAAAGGCACTTTGTCCATGCTCAGGAATGCCCCCCTTTCCAGCAGAGAGTTTCTCAAACAAGCTCCACCGAAAAGACTTCTTGCAAAGACCAGCATCCCTCGGTGCTCGTGGGCCTCCCCACTCGTAGGAAAGATTTGGCGCCGTGCTGTGTGCTTCTTTTGAAAGAGTTGAGGGAGTCCTTCCCAGAAATGCAATCTAAACAGTCCGCCTCCAGTTAAACCCCAAGCCATCTTCCCTCTCCATTTCAGACATCTCAGCAGCCTCTGATTCATGGCTTCCCAATGCAACCAACGTCAGGCTCACCGAAGTGGCCGGCTCACTTTAAAAAAAAAATAAAATAGAATTATAAGGTTGGATTAGAAGGCTGGCAGTCTCCTAGTCCAACTTCTGCTCAAGGAAGAAGATCCTATTATACCATCTTGGTCAAGGGTTGTCCAATCTATCCTCCAGGGGAAGAGGAAAAATTTCTTGGCCTTCATCCTGTTGACTAGCTATTCTATTTTTACTTTTAGGCTTTTAATCAAGCACTTTCCAAAGACAATTGCTTAGCCGTGGGCTTCTTCCAAAGAAGTTATGTTCATTTTCAGCTGGGCAGGTAAGGAATTGTCGCCTCCCGTGTTGCATTCACGTAACAATACCCCAATCAAGGAACTGCCAAAGAAACTAATGATAAAGAAGAACTCCCAAGACCCCTGACAGGGCACGCCGCTAGAATATAAACAGAGAACAAAGCCCATTCCCTACTAGCACTGATGATGTTACCCAGATGGGTCATGAAAGGTCTGCAAGGAAACAACCAAGCTCAGAGAGCAACAAGCCAACCCTAAGCTACAAATATTCTCCTTTATTGGTATAAAAATACAAATTATCCACTCTAACTAAAAAAATGGGGACGGGGGAGTAGGATGAACAGGGGGGGAGATGGGATCTGTAGTTGTTCTATTCTATTCTATTCTGTTCCATTTCCTATTCTATTCTATTCTATTCTATTCTATTCTATTCTATTCTATTCTATTC